TATAAATGATAAAAACTGAGAAGATATATTTTCTGAAAAAGGGAAAAAATGCCGAGAATGATCAAATAATTGTTATGAAACTGATGATTGATGTTCATAAGACACAGTTTATCTTTAGATTGACGAACCTGTTCTTGAGCCAACCTATCAAACGTTTTCAGTTGTTAAACTGTGACAATCACTCTTCTTCGTCCCTTCATATTTTGTGCTTTTTAAATTTCACAATTTCGCCACTGATTATTTTCAAAGTATTTCATACAAACATTTTTCTTGACAATCTAATCAGATGGCAAATCGAATTGAATGATTAAAAGGCTGGCACTCCCTCATTCAATAGTACAATGCTTTGTTGCGTAGCTAACTTGTAGCACCGCTATAAGAAAATGCACTTCACTCAGTATCAATTGTTCATGTTTTTAAATTGATGATAAACTCATATTTATTTTTAAACGGCCCAGATATTCACAAGTTCTTTCTTGTACTTCATCGGGTTATGTTTTACAGAAAACATAACTTATTCATTTCAGTACATTTTTTGTTTCAATATATGCTAAATGCGTGTTGCACATAGCCTATTGTTTTCTATCCAGTAAATATAAATTCAAAACTGTACAGCAAAATCGGTTCCTTTTTGCTATGACCTTCATAAAATCCTCTGGCAGTCGTTCATGTCTTATTTTAAACAGACAAATTTTTGTGATGACTTTGTACTAATATTTTCCATTTTCCAATATTGTATTAGCAGCTCCTTATTCAATAAATATCAAAAAACTTTGCTTTAAATGCTACAGCAGAGCTAATATGCTAATTTTATTGATTGAAACAAGTAACAATTTGATGTTTAATCTGTGCCACAGCTATTCTATTCATGATTTATTTTAATTATTGATAAAGCATAAGTTTTGTGCATTACTCTTGTGAGAAAATGTGTAGCCGGATAGATTATTCGATTTTGCCGTTAATACCAAGAACTTTATGCCAATATAGATTTAGATATAGAAAGCTTAAACAGCATTAATGTTATTTGAACTAATACTGCTTTTATTTTTGCTTGTAGATTTGTAGCCAAACAAGATTTGTCATTTTTCAACCTTTTGAGGTCAAATACTTTTGTATTTTATTGGATGAACGTTTATGAAAGCACTGAACTGTATCAATGGGTGATGGAATGCATGCCACTGGGAAGACTTTTTGGAAGATGGACGGAATGATTTGTCAATTCGCGGTTAATACCATTTATTTGCTTTAACGGGAAAACAGCACTCGTGATGGAACTATATAAAGACAATATTTGAGAAATTTCCTTGAAAAAGTAAAAAAAATTTGCTTATTTTGTTTGCACATAAGCATTGTTTGATCGTTTTTATCAAAAGAAGCTTGATAACAAAATTGCTGTATTAAAGAGATTTCAGCATCATTTGCCATTTTGCAAGAAACACCATCGTAAAAAAACAAACATTGGAGCTATTCTTTCAGTAATAATGTTCTATTTATCAGCATCTAAAGCTACTCAATAAATAGTCTGCATCCTAATTTAAAAGTTTTTTTTTTTGCATTACAAGCTTTTCTAGTGTTTATTGGCTTTGAAAATTTTCAAAGTCGTAGGATTGCTTTCCTGAATTGCTTGGTAACGATCATTCATGCTGAGAAAGAAAATTGTAATAGTATTATAACAATAATCGAATTTTCATACAATAAAAAATCATGTCAAAAAATATTTGTTGCTTTCTCGAGTGATATTTCGAAAGTAAAACTATGTTCTGAAATTTCCTGAGTTTATACATCAATATCGGTGCTCCAGAAGAGAACTGATACTTTGCTATATTGCTTCTGCGTGAAAATCAACTGTATGTGATAAAATCATTACTGATTAAGAGCTGATTAAGTATTGATCTCTCACTTAAGCATGTTTTTGGACGAGACAGAAGACTGTTCTAGACGTTAATGATATGTATTTGAAATTCTCGTCCAGTATGTTCTGTCATTGTATGATGGGTGGAATAGGAGAACAGGCAGTATTTTCGACTTTAATGCGGTGCTATCGTTTCTTTCGTGCCACCCAAATCGAACCATCTCTTCTCTTTTCCTACTGCAAATTAACAACGCATCGCTCATTTCTTATTTTGAACTGTTCAAATATTTTATCCTTTAATAAGTTTATTTATTCGTTTAGTTCAGAGGAGAGGAAGTGATCCTAAAATGCATTTTTGTTTCTTGAAAAATTTATCCTTTTTCAAATGAGCTAATCTTCAGAACTAATCTTCAGATGTTCGCCCTACTGTTGAAAAAAATTGATGTTAAAATAACTCTTTGCATATACCCAAACGGCTGGCCACAGTCTTGCCAACGAGGGTATGTTAAAATGAAATTCTTATATAATCTCACTTTTCTTCAAAATTTTCAGCTTATATTTACTATGTATCACTTTTGATGTGCACTTAATATCAATAATAAAATACCTAGAGAAGAGGGTTTGTAGATATTTTAAGCCTAAATATGATATAGATTGCTAAAACACTGTTGAAATATATTCTTTTTAGATGATATTATCTGGAAAACTGTGCTCATTCCGGAGTAAATTTTGAAATGCAGTAAATTTGAAGAAAAGTGTGATCACATAAAAATTTTATTTTAATACGCCTTTGCTCCTTTTATCCGCTGCAGCAGTCAACACGACCCATCATGCATACTCCATTTCGCAATATCCATTACTGACAACGTTAAGTAACTTGTTAGTGAAAGCGTAATTTGAATGGTTGGAGGTTTCCTATGAGTTCTTTCTTATTCGACTGGAAACGGAATTAAATATTGTTGTTAAGGACTTCTGCCCACCTTCTTGAAAATTTCTGGGTTGAGGACAGCTAGTTTTCAAAATAAAACTATAGCGTTCCAGCTTACAACAGTAAAGGTATTAATGCTGGCATAAATGAAATCGGTAGAATTTCAATCAATAAAAAAAAAACTCAATCAGCTGTTCCGGAAGGTTATGAGTGGAATACTATTTAGTAGCAATATTACCTAAATCTATCCATTTCTTTCAAGATTAATTAATGACAACATTTCAGATTTCTAGGTTTCCAATACACTATCCTCAGGAAGTCGCGAACCGGAAGCTATAAATACTCTATTCTGTCCATTTCAAAGTTCTCAAATTTTTATTCTGGATAAAGTTGAAGAATTTTATTCTTATTCGTACAAGGAAGTGATCACCCAAAAGTAAAAGCGAAAAGGCTGAAGAGATCAAATTAGAAAAAACCTTTCTTTTCAAAAGCCAAGGACAAAATTCAACACTTCCCGAATGCTTCCGATATTAGAGTCACTTGGTTAAAAAATTTTAATCTCTTATATCCTTATAAAAGAGACAGACTGCCCTCCACTGGTCGGTAATTAGACTATCTATCCATGATACTTCTACATCTGATACAAAGCTATTATAACTGACGATTTCGATGTTATAAAGTTTAACCAGTCAGGTAAAATATCCGTAATATTCTGAGCCACCTCATCCATTTTATTCTTTACAATTTACATTCTCTTGAAAAAGTTGGGTAAGTCTTCCCGCCCAACCTGTTGTTAATGTTGGGATGCACAATTAATTTCTGTTTCCTACGATTGAATCAGATGAGCTGATATCATGAAAATTCACAATAGTTGGCTCTCAATCCATAAACTTTTAAGAAGAGTTGGAAAGATCATTGTGCTACATAAGCAGTGAAGCAGTAAATATATATACCACAGATGTTACAGGGAAGTTCGGGAATAGAATGAAGTGCAGAAAATATGTTTAGGACTCACGCACGACACATAGCTTCCGAAGGAGACAGGCTAATTGAGACGAGCAAAACAGTGGGAATTTCTCGCAAAATTTGTTTGTTTAAAGATTTCAGCAGATATCAAAAGAAGTGATATAATGGAGCACCGTTATGGAACGCATTCATCAATCATCGTTGCATACAATGATCGATGAATGCTATTGTAGGGATGGCTGTATATCAAAGCACGGATCTATCGGTTATTGCACGTACACTTCTGATAATTCATTATTTACAGATCAGATCTTATGTGATTTTTCGTTTTTTGAGAATGATTAGATCAATTTCAAGATCAGTTGTTTAAAATTGCTTAATTAGACCTCCTCGGCAGCGTTTTTCTCTTCACGTTATCTTTCATCTTTTTTTCGTATTGAACTTTGATCTTCCTAATATTAATTACATTTTTTTAAACCTATTGAAATATTAAGATGCATTGCAGACACATCCAAACATTGCTAATATTATGATCTATGCGCTCCCATGCATACATTTCTTTTCCTAACTGTATATTTCAAATTTATAGACTATCTATACAAAACAATATGGCATGAAATGAAACTGAGAAATGATCGCTAACCAAACTTGTCTCTACCTCTTAGCTCTGGATCAGTCAGATTTAGTGTCTACGAAATAGATGTTCGATTTTAAAGATGGGAAGAGAAATGTATTGGCGGGATTATTGTGATCAGGCTTTTGGAGGCAATCATCAACGAGAGGAAAATGTTTGTATGAGGGTGTTGACTGTAGAAATATTGCCAAAGTACACTGACCGTCACATGTATGTTAGATATCCTTTCGTCATACCGCTGATGACCCGATCGAATCATTAATAAAGTCCTTTTTATAATATTAACTTTCCTGTTCTTGTCTATTTTAAATTCTTTCCTTATTAATGCATTTTTTTAAATAGGAAATAAATGTGCTATACTCTCTCTCTTCCTTTATATACTCTTAAAATACTTGTTCAAAACACTGCACAGTCTTTCTCACGTTTTAAAGATACGTCGATGTCTGTTATGATCTTGCAGTGCATTCTGACATTTAAATTTGCATTAATTTTGTTTTAGTGTTAAAGGATAAGTCTAGTCTGGGTTTTCCGATATGTGTGGGATTTTTGCTTATTTAAACTTTTTAACGCCAAGAAAACGGAGCGAAATAATTGATGTATTGCTCAGGGGCTTACACAGGATGGAGTATCGTGGCTATGATTCTGCAGGTACAGATAACAAATACAAAAATTTCAAGCTTTTCAGAGTAGGAACTAAATTTTGACGAGGAAAATATTTCGTGTGAAGTCCTCCACTATCGTCAAAGAAAGTTATTCGTCGTATTTTCCGTATTATGTTAACAACGTAACTTACTGTGATGTAAGTATAGACATGTCATGGCTGTTGAAATCTATAAATTTCTCCTTTCTTCATAACGGAAAGTTTCATTAAATTTCACTTAAATTCAAAAAGTGAATTTTAGGACTTGCTGTGGACGATGAAGTGGATAATTCTAAAATTGGTTCGAAAATAATTCTTCTGAAGAAAGTTGGTAAAGTCAGCGTGCTCGAAGATTACATAAAAGGTATATATTAAATAATGAAATGATTCAATCCCAATTTTTCTAGCAATCATAATTATGTGCTCGTTTGTGCTGATTTAAAATGCTTATTTAAAACTTGCCTGAGCTAATATTTAGAAAGTCATGTCTGCAATAATGACGTTATCTACAAAACACACTGTGGTATCGCACATACGAGGTGGGCGACGCACGGTTCACCCAGGGACGTCAACTCTCACCCGCAAAGATCAAATACTCAAAATGGTATATTTTTCTTGCACGGTCCATAGCTTTTAGGTATCATGCAGTATCTGCTAACATTTTTCAATTTCATCTTGAAGTAGCTATTGTTTTAATTGCACTTCCCAAGTTATTGCAGAATTCTTGGTTGTCCACAATGGTATTATAACGAACTATCGTGAAGTCAAGGAATATTTGATGAAAAAAGGCTATGAATTTGAGTCGGAAACTGATACCGAAGTAATCGTCAAATTGATTCAACATATTACAAACAAATGTGAAGGAGCTAGTTTCCGTCAGCTTGTTGAGGCTACCATCCAACATCTTGTTAGTAATTCAAACTTACATTGCTATACATTATAAACAGTTACAGTCGGTTATTTGCCTCTTTTATTTAAGAAAGGAAACAGGATCAATGATCCTTTATTTTCATTATCAGTTTAATCCGTTTGAACTGAAGTGATTACTACCAAAGCTTCATATGTAATAAATTTCGGTTGTAAGCTATCACATATAAAGCTTATATAAAGCTATCACATTTTAGGAAGGTGCTTTTGCGTTAGCATTTAAAAGCAATCGTTTTCCTGGTCAGCTTGTAGCAACACGACGTGGTAGTCCACTTCTTATTGGAATCAAAACCATTGGAAGGCTGTCTACTAATCATTTTCCAGTATTTTTTAGCAAAGGCGAGCTTGAATTGTCTTCGAAGATTCTATTTTTTATTAGCAATCAACAAGGTCAATGTTCAACTGCTAACAGTTTTTTTTTCAATATCAATTCTTAAGGTACTCAAAATAATTGTTTCAAATTCTAAGAATTCTTTAGCCCGTCGCTTCATATCTTCGGAATACTCCAATGAATCATATGTGGAACCGTCAATGGTTATCGAAACAGGATTCAAAACAAGCACGCCCATCAGAGGAGAGAAAGGTTCTTCGTTTCTGTAAACATACGTGAAAGCTATTGTTTGCATAATTAGCTTCTGTGCTGAATATTAACTCATAAAAGTGGTTTCCAGAACCCAGTGAGGCGGCATTCCAAATTTTTGACTATAAAGAAGCAGAATATTTTGTTGCATCTGATGCAAGGTAACCTTTTGAATCACTCATTCATTTCATACTATTTTCGTTGTCTGTGATGAAATGAAATATTGCAATAGCTTTTGTTGTACGCTGTTTCCAATTTTAAAGTTGAAAGCTTTGCACAGAAGCAGAATTATTTTCTGTTAGCGAGTTATATTGTCGTTTAGCGCAGTTGTTGAACATACAAAGCAAGTCATCTTTCTTGAAGACGATGATGTAGCTGTGATCGAAAATGGATGTTAGCTTTTATTTCTTTGTATCCGAGCGAGATCATTAATCATTACTTTTACCATTTGTGTCAATGTAATTAAGAGTTTAGGAATAAATTATTAATTCTAGAAGAAGCGCCAACTTTTTTTTTCTTTCCGTGAAAGCTCGGTTTGATTTTTTATGTAACATTTTGCCTTTTAGCATTATCAATACATCGCGTAAAACGCGGGGATGAAATTCCACAAACACGCGAGGTTCAAAATTTAACATTGGAACTGCAACAAATAGTGATGGGTGATTTCAAAACATTCATGCAGAAGGAAATTTATGAACAGCCGGATTCAATTGTGAACACAATGCGAGGTCGTATACTTGATGATGGTACTGTTGTGCTCGGAGGCATAAAGGTCTGCTTCTTTTTGAAAGTGGTGCTGGCATATTATACTTATCATATATTCTTCGGTTAATCATTGTAAATTTGAATTCTGCTGTCATCAGCTCAATAATGTGTAAGAGATAAAGTGATTGCTGCAAGCTTTTGAAGTAGAAAGAGGAGGAAAGATAGTTTTTTTTACCGAAATATTTTGCCAAAGAGACTTGATAACTCAGATCACATTTTAGCGGTAACAGAAGAATTTATACTGACAACATCCTTTGATAAAGAGATTGATATCTATCTGTCTCTCCATTAAAGGATGCTACCGGTCAGTCTGGCGTGTAATCATACCATTTCTAAGAAAAGCTCTGCAGTAAGCAAACGAGAAGTGCTGCTAACCATTATGCATACATGGATTCACATTGATATTTCAGGACTATTTACTGGACATTAAGCGATGCAGGCGACTAATTTTGGTAGCATGTGGCAGTTCGTACCACTCAGCTCTTGCAGTAATTTTTCTTCAGTAAATAGATTAGATTTATGGTGTTTGTTTCCAAACTCATGAAACTTAGTTCAAAAACTTGTAGTGCCGACAAATTATGGAAGAGTTAACAGAACTACCAGTAGTACTGGAATTAGCTAGCGACTTCTTGGACCGTGAAACACCAATATTTCGTGACGATGTTTGCTTTTTTATATCGCAAAGCGGTGAAACAGCAGATACTTTGAACGCTTTGAGGTTAATATTTTTTGCTTTTTTTTTTATCGTGACGCTCTAGCGGACTTTTTTCTCTTGTGAACAATTGCATAGTTTTAGTGATAGATTTTCCAGATATTGCAAGCCAAGAGGAGCACTGACAATAGGTATTACAAACACCGTTGGAAGCAGCATTTGTCGTGAGACGCACTGCGGGGTTCATATCAATGCCGGTCCCGAAGTTGGTGTTGCGTCAACTAAGGTATTAACTAATCCAATAAATTCGAATATGTCATGAGAAAATCACATTATTCAAAAACGTTGAAATAAAGTGGTTATAGGCGTACACTTCACAAATTCTGTCGCTGGTGATGTTCGCTTTAACAATGAGCGACGACCGCATTTCGATGCGAAAGCGTCGTGATGATATTATCAGTGGATTAAGACAGTTACCAGGTTACCTTTTTAGTCGAGCTTGTTGAAAGATAAATAAGGATCGTATTGATTTTATATATTATTGTTGTTTCTTAAATATTCATCTTGTCAGTACAAAAAAAAAACTTAAGTACTTTGACGTGAGTGCTTCATTAAACAGTGGTCAACGTCGCTGATGAACTGAAGTCATTAGAAAAAATGAAAAGAAGAACACGTTGCAGATTTGGTTCGAGAAGTTCTGAAACTTGATAGTGAAGTACTTGAAATAGCGAAAAAAATCTACAAGGAACGGTCACTTCTAATAATGGGTCGCGGATATAATTTCGCTACCTGTCTTGAAGGTGCACTGAAAATTAAGGTATATATTATAGAAAAGAATGTTCCAATTAAAGCCGAAAACTTCGTTTATTCAATTGGTTTTTTTGGATTAGATGGAACTTGTAGGAGCTGTCATATATGCACTGTGAAGGAATAATGAGTGGTGAATTGAAACACGGTCCGCTTGCAATGGTCGATAAGAATCGCAGCATAGTCATGGTCATCTGCAGCGATAATGTTTACAATGTAATTATAATTTATGACTACAGAAAGCTTTTCTGAAGTTAAAGAGTTTTATAAAATCCATCCAAAAAAATGCATTTCTCTCTTTTTATAATGGTAGTTTCTGATTCCAATATTTCTGGGTTTTTGACGTAAATATGGCTATCTGATTTAGAAATCAATCAACGCTTTACAACAAGTGCTTGCTCGTGATGGTGATCCCATAATTATTGCTGACTTCGATGTACCAGAGAACGACGTGAAGGGAAGACATTCTGTGCTTCGTGTTCCTAAGACAGTGGATTGTATCCAGAACATTCTTACCGCCATTCCCCTGCAGTTACTCAGCTATCACGTTGCTGAATTAAAAGGATTAAACGTGAGTATTCAAAGGTTGCACTCTCATCTGCGTTGGCGAACCTTCATTCTTTAAAGAAGTGGATTTCGAGGCAGTTTTCCATGGTAGTTATTTGCATTTAGGAAAGCTACTTTTCAGGTTGACCGGCCACGTAACCTAGCCAAATCAGTTACTGTTGAGTAACAAGCCAACAACGTACCGCTTCTTAACTTCGAGTAAATCAGATCTGTTTTACAATCCCATTTGACCAAAAATTTTTCGAGATTCACATTCTCACTGTGATTCACTGCATGATCAGATACATTATTTCGACACCTTTCCCCGCCCTCTTCACCCGCTTCACACTCGCATCATTAGCTAAAAT